AATAAAATTGAATCCTACCCCATAAAAGCAATAAACATATTTTGTAAAATGGTTACTAAAAGAATACTACCAAAAAAAGTAATAAATTTTACTGCCCAAAAATTCCATGTATCTTGTTGTAAAAAAACACCATTTAACCAATTATAAGTTGAAAGGAATGAGATGAAGAAATTTTTAGCTGGGTTATCTTCGGTTCTATCAAAATCATTTTGAATTTTGAGTTCAGTTGTATCACCCGTAAATAATGTGGATGATGATGTTATTTCTGAAAGATTGGTAAAATCAGGATATTGTAATAAATATAAAAAACTATGCGCTAATCCTACAATCACAAGTATCATAAAAGAGAGAAACAACCAAGTTTCATTAATAATATTTAACATAATATATATATATTTCGCTGGTTCTAAAAAAAAAAAAGAATATTTGTAAAAATTAAACAATATGAAGATAAATACAAAAATTAATTTCCAATATTACCTGAAAGTAACCTAAGATATAATATCTATTTGACAATAAAAGTAATAATTTAATTTTTAATTCAAAATAATTTTGCAAAAAAATTACAAAATTCATACAAATTCAAACCAAAGTAATAACATCGTAAAAGAAATTGCGATAGTTGCTTCTTGAGTTGTTGTAACATCAGCAAATGCATTTTTGGTATCAAATGAAGGAGTGACATAAACTGACATCAAAACTATAGCTATAACAATTGAAGTCAAATCTACACAATTAAAAAATTTAAAATAATATCTCCAACCATAATGCTTAAACTGTCTGTATTCTACACCCAATAAATAATATCCTGAATAATAGAAAAGAATAATAAGGAATAATATAAAATTACGTTGATATCCTCTTGCTTCAAAATGTGCAACATAAGTTCCACAAATTGCTGCAAAACATGCTGCAAATAAAATATACAGAACAAAAAGTCGAAGAAAATAATTTCTTGCAGGACGCCATTTGTAATTAACTGCAGCTTCCATTACTGGGTTATTAAATATATCATCATTACTTTCATTTATAATTATTTGAGCAAATGGACTAAGTTGTGAAAAACGTTTTCCATTATCTGAATTATTAACAAAATAACTTCGAGGAATGAAGAATAATTTTAAAAGTTTGATAATAAAAAAATTTTCGTAGTCATTCTTTTGTCGAGATTTTATACTATTAACCGTAAAATTATGCAAAGGAACTATTTTTACAGTTGGAGAATAATTATCATCATTATATGAAAACATATTTATATATAGTTTTGTTAATCTTAATTTCAAGTTATATACTAAAACTTTAAAATTAAATTTCGGCTCATTTGTTGAAATAAGTTTCGACATTGGATTAAATGCGATGAACTTTTGTTTTGCATTTAAAATTATCTGAATATTTATAGGTATAAGATCTGTGTGTTCAATAACATTTGATATTTCTATACCTTCCATGCATCTTTTATAAAATAATTCGCTAACATAATATTCTATCCAAAAAAAAATTATATTTTTAAAAAAAAGTATTTAAAAATGATTTTTAAAAAAATGATAATAACAAACCTAATTTATATGTATATAAATCTGGCAATGCTTTTGAAATAGTAATTAACCATCCATGATGCTCAGTTGCATTTTTTGTATAATATTCTAGTAAGTAAGTTACAACCAAAATTCTACGGTTACGTTCAAGACCTATACCAAATATTTATTAATTATGATTATTAAGATATTTAAATCTTCTAAATAATAAAATTACCTGGTTTACACAATTCAATAGCTATTTGTAAATCGCTTTTATATGTATAATCTTCTGAATTATTTTTAGACTTTTCAGTATCAATCCATCCAGTTATTCTTGGTATATGTAAGTATTTATTTTTTACTTTATTATCACCAAACAAAATATATTTAATAAGAATATTTGAGCTACCAATTATAATTTTTTTCATAAGGTTATAGCGAATATCCAATAATTTCCAAATTTCTGGATAATTTCTAATAAATCTCCAAATAATAAGAGAAACATTGTATTTAATTTCCTCAAATACTATTTTTATTCAATGTAATAAATTAGAATATAATTTTAATGATTTTAAAAAAATAATAACAATAAAAATGATAATTACCATGCTGATTCTCATATCCGACTAATTTATTTCTTTGATAATTTAAGTATTCAAGAGCATAGCAAGCATTTCTTATTAAATTCTTATGACTATCTTCATCATTAAATAACCATTTAAGATGAACTTTATTTTTTAATTTTAGTGAAAAGCCAATTTCATAAACAACTAAATCTTCTATTTTTAATATTTCATTATTATAATTTTCATTATATTTTATTAGCCCAAAAATATTCAAGAATAATCTTTTTTTTTTGATTAATTTTTCGCCATACTTGAACAGTATGTTTTCCAATATATAACTATACTGATTCTTTTTGATCAAGATAAACCCATTTCTTTGTATAATTATCAGTTATCCATGGTTCTAACTCATCTTTAATAGGTTGTGCATCTATTTTTATTTGATCTTGATTAAAAGCTATATTATCATTATTATCATATTTTAATTCTTTCATTTGATTTGATTCTGATACCTTTTTTTTATCATCTATTTTAAGTAAACTATCATATACTGAAAATATAGTACCATTATTATAAATAAATACATATTTACCAGGAATTGTAATACTATAAAAAATACTTTCTTCATCTTCTTTCAACTCGAAATGCTTATCATAATCTTGAAATTTATTTGTATATAAATACCAAAGTAATAATTTTATATATTTATCATTAGATTTTTTAATAATTATCATTAATTTGTCATCATCCTTAAATTCACAAGCAATGATTTTTGTATTTTTTCCAAAATCTTTACAAATTATTTCAAGACCATTTTCAATTAAATAAAGAGTTATTTTTCTATATTCAGAAGAAAAAGCAATCATTTGTTCATTTTTTGAAACAGCTAATATTGATTTGCTGTACTTATTTGAATGATTTTTTTCTTCATAAATATTAAAAATTTGTTGTATTTTCATGATTCTTAAGTCATATAATTGCATAACTTGAATTCCTTCTCTATATTGCTCTATATAAAAATAATGATGAAAAATGCAATCATTAATTCGAAATATACAAGTTCTGTTCTTATATAAAGTTTCTAATTCTGTTATAAGTCTTTTTGGATATTTAAAATGCTCAAATTTCTTCAAATAAT